CTGTATGAATAGCAGCTAGCATTTGATGAGTACCAGCTAGGGACGGTGCTGGGCCCTTCACTACGTTATCACATTTAATCCTTATAACATCTCTGCAAGGTTCATATTAATATCCCCATTTTACAAACTAGGAAACTGCAGCTCCTTAGGTAGTATGCAGAAGAGCCAAGGTAGGTCTGTCTGACCTCAAAGGCCGAGTAGTTTGCACTATGTCATGTCACCTCCCTGACTCCTACAGCCACACTGAGGGATCTTTCCTTCCTTTGAAATTTTACCGTCCAAGGTCTGAAGACTTAATTATACACTGTCTTGTATTATTCTCAAGGATCTCACATGTTTCTGTCTACTCTCCCCTATTGAAAAGCAGAAACCACATTTCTGTATCCTGCAGAAGCACATAGTGGGTACTCAAAAATGCATGCTGAGCCCTTCTAACAGATTTTCCTAGAGAGCCTTGTACAAGTAGATAAAACATCCCAGTTCTTTATTTTTCCACCAGGCTGGGGGAACTCAGTATAAATCATAAGAGAGGAGCACGGACTTTGATGTGAAACAAATAAAGGTTTAAATTCTAGCTTCGCAACTCACTTGTTCTACAATCTTAAACAAATAACAACCTCTCTGAGTCTATTTCCTTATCTGTAAAACCAGGATCCTAACCATATTTCTTTATGTAGGGCTAATCCCTATGAAGATTAAATGCGATGGTGTACATAAAACACAGAGTGGGGTGCCTAGCATCTGGTAAGCACTCTATAATGATAACTATTGTATTACGCCACTTTAACTTTTCCTGGCTAGCCTCAAGACCTAATGAAAGTAAGGTGGCTCAAGAGTTCTATAGCTGGCTGGCACAATCTGACCAACGCCCAGATCAGCAAAGCTGTGGAAGTGCCTACTCAAGCACCCAGCACAGCCATTAGCTCCCAGAGCCCTCCCCTGCGTCCCAAGGCCCAGGCCATATGCATCTAGTATCTGCCGTTGCAGCTAGGCCTGGGCCCTAGCTGGGCATTTTGAGTAAATGCTCAAAAGATTGACATTAAGCTGCTCTACCCAAAGCAGGGGTCTATCCAAATAGTTTGGTGCAATCACTCCAGGTCCTACTGTCCACTGTGACCCCTCAGCAGTACTCCTCCAATGCCAGGAACCCATCTAACCTCTGTTATTTTGTACTCTGTATAACCTCTGTTGTCTAGTACTGACTTTTAATTTTCCATTTCTGCCTCATCAACTTGACTTACATGCCCAACACTTAGCATAGTTCCTGGGATACACCCAAAAGCTCAGGACACACTAATAAAATGCACTAAACTAGGTGTATGGGAAGAGGAGGGGTCCTCAGAAGATGAGGCTGAGTGTCTCTATCGTCAGACTCTTTCCCAGTTCAGCTATGGATGTTCACGGTGACCTCTGCTCCAGTGTATGCCTTCTAAGGACCTTCCCTGCTCACCAGTGATGCCCCCAATCTGGACTCCTCTGACTCCGTGACACTGACCTCCCCAGAACTGCAAGACCCTTCCACCCACATCAGAGCTTGCAATGTGTTCACGCACCTTGTTTCTGAGCACGTATCTGTCCAGGACCTGCTATTTCCCCATCAGGCACAGGAGCTTCCCAAGGGCAGAAACCGGGTCTCTTTTCCTCTGACTCACTCTGACATTCTAAGCATATCTCCACCATACTCAAATACAAGTACTTAGGAGACAGGAATGGGAAGGATGAGTAATCTTGACCTTGTCCCAGAGTTCCCCATGGGTGCCCCTCATCAGGCTGAGGCAGCACCCAGCGGGGTTCAGCTGCACAAAGAACATCCCCTGTCTTCCCCCTCAAACCAGGGATCTGGTAATATCTTGTGTTTTGCCTCCCCCCTCCACTCTGTTCCTCACAGTCCACTTCAGAGCCAGCCCTGACCTAGCACTCAGGACAGCATCAATTCATCCCTCCTCAGAGCTGTGAAGGACAGGGGGCTAACATCATTGCAATGAAAGATGCAGCCGTTCAACACCCCTGTCCCGACATTCTCACTCAAGCTTATCTGTGTTATTTGTCTGATTACTTGTCTCTCTTTTCCATTACACTGGGAGCTCTGAGAGATCAGACTCTGTCTTGCTTTTCATCTCTAGGATCCCAGCACCCAGCAGAGAAGCACATTTTAGAGTTTAATTAGTATTTGTTAAAGGAATAAGTATGCAACCAGCCTTAAATTCCTCTCACTTCCTTCTCCCTCCTCCTTGAGGCCAAACAGACTGAGGCCTGCACCTCTCTGCCTCTCCCTTTCTGGTTTCCTAAGAATTTCTTCTTCTAAAGACTAAGTGATGATCCTCACACCCCAGCTCATGGATGGTCTTGGAGGAGAGTGGTGCCAGGGGAAGGGAACAAGTTGCAACACAGTGATGGGAGCCTTGGAAACCTGTCCCTCAGTTACTGCAGAAATAGGACCCTCCTCTGTGCTTCTGCACTTCAGATATCCAAAGCCAGAACCCACCCCCCCCAGATATCAGCCACCTCCTCAATGTGCCCCTGAAAGAGCCAGTCTCTCAGCCCACAGGGAGCTCTCCAGGGAGCTGGCTCCTCTTTCTGTGTGCCTCAGAGGATCTCTGTGTAGCCTTTGTGATGTCAAACAAGGCATATGGGATGAAATTCATTTCACAAAACTAGGATACATGTACATCGTTATCAGAATCGCCCACTTAACCTGAGCCCAAATCAAACAGTTAAATGGCAGAATCTTAATCCAATCAGCTCTCAAGGATGACAGCTCCAGGTGATGTCTCCTCCTGGACCAGGAAATGCCAAGGGAAGCTTCCTGCCCCACCCCCACTCATGATGGGAAGGGGGCGCAGAAGGGCAACAAAGCAAAGGACAGCCAGTCCCCCAGCCGCATGCCGCCCCTTGCCAGCCACTGCCTGAGTCCCAGTCAGAGTTGCGGCATATGAGCTGGAGTCCAATCACTCAGATTTCTAAAGTTAGGGAGCCTGGCGGAAAAGGGATAGGATCGTCAGCAATTTGCTCTTAATCTCCAAATTAAGCCTCAGGGGTTTTAGCTGAGGTCCCCAACACAGGAATTGGGCTGCCACTCCCTGTTTCACAGGGCAAACACAATTTTTGGGGCTAAGTATAAATGTCTCTTTCCTCATTTGTGTTATTCTCATTCTGTCTTTCTGTGTACACACACACACACACACACACACACACACACTCAGCTGAATCCAAAGACAAGAGGGAGAAATGACTCCCTCAGAAGTGCTAGCTCAATCAAGACAAAAGGTAGAAAGTACTAGATGCATAGCAGACCCCCATTCCCACTCCCAACTCATCTTCAATTCTTCCTGCAATGCAATTCCACCAGATCCACTCATCCCCAAACCAGGGGAGGGCAGGCCTCTGCCTTTCTTCTTCTCCCTGTCCCTCACCCCCCTCCCAAAGTTGGTATGGCCTCTATCCCCAGGGGCTTCCTCTTTCCACATACATTTCCCCTAGGCTTCTCCCACTTAAGTCGCAAGTTTGGTGGGTTCTGAACTTGCCAGTCTCTGGCCCGCATACAAACAATTCAACTCCTGGCCCCGCAGTCTGCCTTTGCTGGAGATTTGTCTAAGGCCCAGCAGGGCTCACCACAGTTCCAAGGGTAGATATGACACATGAGGCCCTCATCCCATGGAGATGGATAGGCAGTAAAGGGACACTGTCATCCACTCCTCCAGACTGAGGGAGGAGGCATCTCTGCCCAACACACACACACACACACACACACACACACACACACACGCGCACACGCACACACACGCACACACCATTGACAAATGCCAAGAAGGAATCAGGAGCAGAACCTGGCTCAGGCAGGGCAGGAGAGGGGCTGCCACGGGAATCAGAGTCGAGGTGATTCAGCACTCTGCCCACTCAGCCCAGCCCATTGGCTACACTCATGACAGCTCCTGATGCCAAAGTGCTGACTTGGAGGCTGAGGAAGAATCCTTTCTAAAATCCAAAATGCTCCAACCCTCCAGTGGGGCTCCTCACCCAGGCCTTTGCATCCCAGGGCTCCGAAAGAAAAAGACCAGGAAAAGGTTACTCAGCCATTCCTCTGACCCTGCCTCTTCCGGATCCTAGCTTCCCTGTGCTTAGCACCCTTTCCTCCAGTCCGTCTAGAAAACAAACCTAAACAGCTAGGTGAAGAGGATTATAAGAGAGGTCTAGCCACCCCAGCATCCTTTGCCCCCAAATCATGAATAAGATCAAACATGCAGAAAGGGGTTATAAGTGGCAACAGCAAGTACACTGGGCCCTCAGAGCCCGCGGCCTCCCCAAGCAGGGAAGGAGGGCCCGGTGGCAGGTGAGGGGCTCAGCACAAGCCCTGTGGCGACAAGCATCACCGAGAAGGGCAGGTGGGGAAGGTGATGGGGGCTATGCCAGCCAACAGCCAAGGGGCAGAAGATGGAGTTCTTCAGAGGGACCAAGAGGCAGCTGGGAAGGCGCTGGGATACGGTGTGCAGAGGGGACCTGGAGAGGACTGTGAGGGAGCTGATGGAGAGCCAGGCTCTCGGAGTGATGGGGTATGAGGTGGGGACCAGAGCAGGGGAAGGCAAGGAGAGGGACTGATGTGCACGGTAGGATAAAAGAAGGGGAGGGGGTCATACAAAGTGGGGTGTGTAGGTAAAAAGAGGTCTCAGGGCAGGGGAGGAGGCAGGGACAGAAGGAAAGGGGGAAGAGGGTGAGGATGCAGGAAGGGGGAGGGGACGCGGCCAATGAGACAGAAAGGGTGTGGGGTGCGCAGGGGTCGGGAGCTGGGTGGGGGTGGGATGCAGATATGGACAAAACAGGATGGATTCAGGGCAGGTGACAGTGTGGAGAGAAAGGACGGGATGTGTACGGAGGGGGATGGGTACAGGTCGAGGGATGAAGACGGAAAGGGGAGGGCGGGAAAAAGGGGGTGTCGCTAACCGGGTCTCCAGGACCCCCGTTGTGCACCCACCACCATCTCTGTGGCGTCCGCGCTCACCTACCTCCAAGGGCTCGGGCTCCGGCCCGGGGCGCAGTCCGTGCTGTCCTCTGCCGGCACCGCCACTTCCCCCGCGTCCCCTGCAGCGCCTATCGCCGCCAGCCGCCGCATTAGGGCAGAGACCAGCCCGGCGGCGCGCCCCCGACACCCTGCGTGCGCGTCCCCGCGCCACTCCTTCGCGCGCCGACCCGGCCAGGACGCAGGAGAAGGAGGGGGTAAGGGATGTTCGGGCGCAGCCCCGCCCAGGGCGTCGGGAGCGGGTCGCAGAACCTGGACGAGAAGAAGCACCTCCTTCCTCTACCCACGACCTCTCAGTGGACCGGCTTTGAAAATAATCCTCCAGTTCGCTGAGCGTCGAATACGGGCCAGGCACACAGGAGGAAATAAGCCGGAGCCCCAGCGTCGTGTCACGTGTGTGTCCTGTATATGCTCCTCCAGCATCAGACTGTGGCTTCTTAGGGGCAGAAATTTGTCTTCCTAGGGAGATCTGCTTATGGTAGACTCTCCAGGAACGTTTGTTGATTGAAGAGTTCTTGGATCCCGAATTGGGGATGTGAGAAAGCTTGTGACCCCTGCTGGGAGTAGAGTGGTCTTCAAAAAATGGGAGGGGACTCAAACCTTGTCCCATACTTGAGTTAGTTGGAAAGAAGCCCAAGCCGGGGAGACCAGAGATCCAGGTCCCAGGCCTGGCTCCGCGACTAATCTCTGACATGGGCAAGACGTTTCTCTGTGGGTCTCAGTTGCCTCGACTGAACCATGAAAAGTTGCTTGGATGATCCCTTCTGGTCCTTTCTAGTTCAGACGTGGAGAACGCCATTAGGCTCTGGTGAACATGCACAGGCAGAGAACCAAGCTCACTTATAACCTGAAACAGGGTACGCTCTGGATTGGGATAGAACCTTGGGCTTAGACGAGCACTTGAAAGTCCAGACCCCGGCCCCAACCACAGTTCCCTCAGCAGCCCCGCTCTGAGGCCATGTTAGGCCACCTTCTCTGTGCACACTCAGCTCCTGCCCTGGCACTGATACGGGAGAGCCCCCTCACTATAGAAATTTCAAGTCTTCTTTTCCCTAGTGTTTTAGCTCCCTGGCCCTTGGTCGTAATCACTTTTTTTTTTTTAAGATTTTTATTGGGGAATTGGGGGGATGGGAACAGTGCTGGGGAATTGGGGGAAGGGGGAACAGACAAGTTGCTGCCGGCTACACATGGTAGCTTATGGCAGCCCACTGCAGCAGGGGCTGCAGCCTACGCCGTCGCCGGCAACTCACGGCAGCCCAGCTCCAGGTGGAGCTGTTGTTCAGCATCTTAGCTGTGGAGGGCAGTGTCACTGGCCCTCACATGTGGGATCCGAATTGGGGCCCTCTGGCGTCCCAAGCCAGTTCTTAACCATCATGCCACTCGGCAGCCCTTAATCACTTTTTAAATCAGTTTCTTAATCCTAAACTTAAGATTGCTCCTAGCCTGAATCATAGACTGTCTCTCACCCCTGCTTCAAATAACTACCTAGAAGCCTGTGACTGTCAGCTTGTTGATTGTAATCATTGTAGCCCAGCGTTCTCCCCAGGCCATTCCAGACCTAACTCCTGGATAAACAATGCCACCTGAAATGAAGCTAAATGGACTTTGACATTCTCCCCAGGCCATTCCAGACCCAACTCCCAGGTAAACAACGCCACTTGAAATGAAGCTGAATGGACTTTGAGGCCTGCTCCTTGGGCCAGCGCTTTTAACCTATTAACCAAAATCTATCTCTCCTCATCTAGGGGCCATCGGGATACAGATGATGCCCCAGCAAGGCTTCCAGTACACCCTGACCCAGGAGGCCAACATGGTTTTCCAGGTGGATCTCAAGACCCCTTCCTCTCATTTAAGATTAAATAGTGCGAGAATTCCGCAAATCCCCAATAGGCAGGGTCAGCGATCACATTCAGCAGGAAGCAGATACAGAAGAAGAGACCTCCTGTCCTTCAACTTCCCATGGAGATTTATGAGGATCACGCTTCTCAGGGGAAAACAAGGCAGGCGGTTAGAGATAGAAACGGGGTTCTCCAGACATCCCTGCACGTTCAACACGGCCTATGGAGAGTGACCGCCCAGAGACCTCCCCAAAATGTTCCCTCTCTATATATAAAAATGTTCCCCAAATTTTTCCCTTATCTGCCATAACCATAACCACTGTGAGGACACTAGAAGACACTGACTATCTTACTAGATTAGACCAGTCACTCACACCTGCACAGTAAAAGCCACAGTGACCCTATTTCACCTGGGCCTCATTATATCATCATTATACTATCATACATATGCCCGGAAGTTCATTAATATCATTATAACAGACTGAATTCTGGCAAGGAACATACGCAGTCTAAAAAGATAAAGTAATAGTCTCTTGTCAATCACAGGTGTCAATAAAGTGGTCCCACGCCCGGAGCGGAACAGCCCATTCTAGAGAAAAAAAAGATAAAACCGCCAAACTCTCTCTAGCCAATGGTCCTTGATCCATCCATCCTCTTTGTGCTTGGGCCTGCTCCTTTTTTGGAGTGCACTTTTGCTTCTAAAACTGCTTTTTCACCACTGTATTTCTGTGTCTCGTTCAATTCTTTGCTCAAGACACCAAGAACCTGGACACTGCGCTGAGGAGGGCCCGTTCGCTGGTAATGGCACCACCTTCGCTGAGTTGTACCCACCTGCCTGCCTCTCTGTGTCCCCTCCAGCCTGTGAGCTTTGGGAGAGCGGGAATACATCTTGTGACCCATGCTGTCCCCAGTCCTAGCACATAGTAGGTGCTCAATAAATGCTTGCTGAAGGAATGAATAACTAATAACAATCGATGAAATCATCCAGGTAACTGACAAAATGTTCCAATCTTTAGTAATGTGCTTTTGAGACCAACAGTTACAGCCATTGGGCAAAGGCTATGCCATGGGAAAGGGGGGAAGGTGGATATGACAGGACCCGAAAACATAGCTGCCCATAGATGTCAGGGACTCTGGGCAAAAGTTTTTGGAGGGGCCGTGTCTATACAAGCAATTTGATTTCACTCAAAATCTTGTCTTTGACATCAATCTGGCAGCTCGATTGCACACAATCCTGTGAATGAAACAGCACCCTGTGAAGGAAATAGTGTGCCCTCCTGGAGCCGGGCCTGACCACAGGGCCGTGGGATGACCCCATAGCAGCCAGTGCTGGAGCTGGAGAGCAGAGGGCTGGGAAATTCTCTGAAGGGCAGAATCTGGAAACTGGGAGCCCTGTCCAAATGACACCAGTGTCTCCAGCCAGTCCCAGGCACTGAAGAGGATACTCAGAAAACTTAGAGGAAGGTGCTTCCAAGCATCAAGGCCACTCAGGCCTGGACCCAGGGCAGGACTCCCTTACCCTCCTTACTAGAAGTGTGCAGCTGAGGCTGGCTCCATGGGATGAAGAAAATAATTTTCCTCTTCTAACCACCTATAGTATGTCACCACTGGGTTTCTTGTATATATCATTCCCTTGTATTTTACAGCACTAGGAGGTAGATATTTTATAGGCAGTATTGCATAGTGTCTGTGCTATCAGCTCTAGAAGCAGCCTGCTGGTGTTCAAATCTCACGTCCCCCCACATCAGATCTGGGTGAACGTGGGCAATTTACTTATTTTCCTTTAATTTCTTTTAAAAACTATCATTAAAACTTCATAAGTACATAGTTGAATTGCAGCTAAATAAGATTTCTCATGAAATACATTTACCTCATGCTTTTCCCTGTCCAGAAGTCACCACTTTCAGCTCTTTCGAGCTGCAACTTTGGCTATTTACCTCTATATCTCGAAACAGCTTGCCCTGTTACTACTTCTTGCCTCTAGTGTAGGCATTATCTCTTGATTTCACCCCATGAAAGACTCTTTCACCCCTGTATGTCTTCTTTGGAGGAATGTCTTTTCATGTCCTCTGCCCATTTGTTTTAACAGTTAAGAAAACTGAGGCCTAATGGGATAGAAGATCACATAGCAATTCGGTGGTTGAAACTGAACAGGAGCTCAAGAGTAAAGAAATTCATTCTGGACCTGGGGCGGGTGCAGAGCCCCCAGGGCCACCGAGGGTGGAGAGGCAGACGGTGCCCAGCTGCTGGCCTGTCCTGAGCAGGGGAGGGGCTCCACCTGGTGGTGATGGACTCACAGATGAAGCGGCCTCAGCCTGTGCAGGCTGATCTGCAAGCTTGCCAGGAAAAGACTTAGTACCGAGGGCTCAAAGTGGTTGCCTTTTTCTTTCCAGACATAGATCTGGCCTTCCTGTTTTCTTTTCTTCCCTGACTTTGTATTTCTAGTTCTGGCTGAAACCCCAGCCGGCATGGACTCTGCTGACCCTGGACCTGAAACCCCACTCACTGTGTCCTCTGTTGTGGCAAGTGGCGAGTCACTGGTGGTTTTTACATTTCCTAGCATCTCAGGACTCCCAACCAAATTGCACAAGCCTGCCTTATCTCGGGCTCAGGCCAAGAGACAGCCCCCAGGCACTGAGTCTCAGGTGCTTACAGAGGACACTGGGCATATATATACAGGGATGGTAGAAGCTGAGGGATAGGGCTGGGCCCCCAGTGTCTGTTACACCCTCCACAGGGTCCCCAGAAGGTGTGGGGAAACAGGCAGTTTCATACATTTTTTGGTGGAAGTTTACCTTGGTGTAGCCTTTTGGAGGAGCAGTTTGGCAGTACCATAAAGATAGATCTGTCAGTGCCACCTCTAAGAATGCAGCCTGCAGAAACGCTAGCACGAGTCACAGCGATGTGTACGCACAAGAATGTTCGGTGAAGCCCATCTAGAGGAAAATGATCAAATATGTTGTGATAATTCATGCAACGGAGAAGTATGCAAGTGGTTGGTTTTTAAAACCCAACAGGGGAAAGAACAAGACCCCTCCCCTGCTGGGAATCTTGGCATTTAGAAAACCCTTGTCAAAGAGCTTTTTCTTTCAAACACATTTGTGCGAATAGTTTTGAGAGTGATTGCGCACTGCTAACCACAAAAGCATCCAGCATAATCAAATGATTAAGACATATTAAACAATCTCTCTTCCTGAAACCACTTGCTCACTTATCTTTGTGGTGCACAGTACTCCTATTTTAAGACCCAGCTTAGACATCTCCTGTGGGAAAA